AACCTGGAAGCTGGAAGGTACACATGAACATTGCGACCTTCATACCAGCACCTGTACCTAGAGGGATTAAATCTCCTATTCCGATACCAATGCTCGGCTGAATAAACTCTAAGTTTGTTGGAAGTAAATACAGCGCGATGACTAAGAATGGAATGCGAGATTCGGTGTAACGGGGTGAATCGTTACATAACAATTTATAAGAAATTGTTAATAGAATATAACTATAAGAGTTATATTCTCAGAATATTGTCATAAGGACAAATATTCTGTAGCACTTACAAGTAGTTCCTAATTGGTTGATATAGGCCATTATATCAACCAACGAAGACGCGCCACGACAGACGCACGCAATGAGTGGTGAGCAGATAACTGATTTACACATTTGTATTTAGACATAGTTAGATGAAGATAAATAGTGATTTATTGCAGACATTAACTATTATAAATACAGTTCTACTTTTACTTTAACCAAGTACTCGCTTCTTCTTACCGTCTTCCTCTGCACGTACGAGTGTACGTGAAGTTACGAGGCACCGCCTTATTCTGTTATCAGAATAAGTAGCTTGTACTGTCACCAGTACAAGCTTCAGGGTGCCCCGTTACACCTGGTAGCACTTCGTAGTCCGTCCAAGGACCGCGTTCACATCCAACATGAATATGTTGGATGATGAAGATGACCAAAGCTTTCACGCTACGCGTGACGGCTACTCCCATTTGAGCGATGTCGAATGGGATGCGGTTGAACGAATGGGTTCGACCATGGGCATCCATGCTGTTAGCGTCATGCTAGAGGCTCTCAATAGAGATGCCCAACATGCTACTATCGCCAAGTTCATTCAAAATGAACTTGACGCAGAACGCGAGAAAGTAGCCTTGCTTCACCAACAAGGTTCTCAACAAGCAGAGTTGTTGAGAGAACAAGGTGCTCAACAGTTTGAACTGTTGAGACAGCAGCAGGCTGCTGCTGGCGGGTCGATGCACTCGCGTCGACCCGAGACTTTGAAGATTGACATCTCAAAGTATAGGGGGGTCGAAGAAGACTCCCTCTTGAGATGGTTCGTCGAATTGGACGACGCTATAAGGGCGCGTCGCATCGACGACGGGGATATGCAAGTTGCATTTGCCCAGTCAAATCTGGCAGGACGTGCCAAGACTTGGGCACTGGGGCTCAAGCTGCACGACCCATATGCGTTTGGGTCGTTGGAAGTCTTCAAGTCGCGGCTCAGACAAACGTTTGAACCGCCTAGAGCTGAGTTCAGAGCTCGAACCGAACTCTTGAAGCTCAAGCAGGGTAAGCGTGATGTGCACGCTTACGCTCAACACATACGACATCTTACGAGTTGTATAAGTTCCAATCCAGTGGATGAACACACGTTGGTTTCGGTGTTCATGCAGGGTCTTGCGGATGGTCCCGTCAAGACTCACCTGTTCCGGCTTGAACTAGATTCACTAGAACAAGCCATTTCCATTGCGGAGCAGGAAGACTTCAGTCTGAGACAGGCTCGCGCCAGCTCGACATCATATCGTCAACCGAGACGATATGACAACGGAGGTCCAGAGCCGATGGAACTCTGTTATGTAGAGAGCGAGAAGGTTCGCTCTACAGGCTACAAGAAGTTGCAGAGATGCAACAGATGTCAGAAGACAGGACACTACGCTTACGAGTGTAGTGCCCCTCGTCCAGTGTCTCGCGACACTGGGCGTAGTGACCGTCCACCCATGAGAAAGGGGCAGGGACGAGGGTCCGCAGTTGGTGCAAAGACGCAACAACGGGATGGACCGTCAAAAAACGGACAGGATCAGTAGGTGCGGAGCACCCTACTGATCCAGCAACGTCAAGAGAATTTGTAGGCCTCTTGATGAAGGTTGCTCCCAACACACAGACATTGTGCGTTGCTGCTCTAGGTAATGAGATCTCACTCATTACCTTGAAACTCGAAGTGACGAATAAGTTGTCCCTTCGAGCTCTAGTCGATTGTGGGGCGTCCAACAATTTTGTGCGACGCCAATCGCTAGAAGATGGTCACTTTAAATTCAGTGAATGTGACACACCTCCTACGAGGATGACGGTACGTCTTGCGACAGGCGCATCCGTAACCGTCATGAAGCGTATAGTGAAGATTCACTATACACTAGAAGATACCCAATACGACGATGACTTTATCGTATTGGATTTGGATGACAAATTTGATGTCATCCTTGGAATACCGTGGCTCAGAAGGTACGAACCACGGGTAAACTGGCAACATCGGACAGTAACGATGCCTGCCGCTTGTTCATCAGATGGCCATCTGATGAACGTTTTGGAGCGTCCACAAGCGTGTGGATGTACTACGAGTGAGTGCGATGGCCTCACTTGTGGTACGGTCGTTAGTACGACTGCACAAAACCTTAGTGTACCAAACGGTTACACTTCGGAGCAAAGTTCCGGCGGCTGTGAGGAAACACAGGCTGCGCCGAAGGTCCACCACTCGAATAAGTCGGGTGGACTGGGACAAAGATGTATCCCTAGAGGGGAACATCTAGAAGAGAAACAATCGATCGCTCAGGTTAAGCGAAACGATAATCCTAGATCGACTGGAGAGTCTTTCGTAGAGGATCTCGCTGTGGTTGCGCAACCCCAGCTAGAGGAAGTAAAGGGAATAAGTCCCAAGATTACAAATACGGCGGAAATAAGTTCCCCGAAACCCGCGGGAATAAGTCCCCGGGAAGACGAAGGAATAAGTCCTTCGAGGCCTGAGGGAATAAGTCCCCAGGAAATGACAGAGACATTGAATGTCATAGTCAATAACGGATCATGTGTAGGCGCTTATACACTTGATCTGATTCCGCCTCCGAAGTTAACTTCGGAGATCACTCAGTTGCCAACGCTCGAACATAAAAGGTTCTTGCGTGATCTGCGTAGTGGCAAAGTCAAGCAGATCTGCATACTCGTCGCTGACGACGAGTATGTAACCGACATAAGGTCAGCAACAGTGTTTACTGAGAACGAGAGAGTTCTCAGTAGTTCATCTATGGACGAGAGTGTCCTAGATGAAAAGACACGAATTGAGCGATATGAGTCCCAATCATGGGAATCGCTCAAGGAAAATCCTCTCTATGAAGATTTGGTTGAATTCAAGGATGTATTCCCTGAAACTGTTCCGTGCGAATTACCGAAGGATAAAGGTATTTGACACGAAGTCGAGCTTAAACCAGGCTCGAAGTACTGTGTCATGAAGCAGTGGCCACTGCCTCGTGAACAAGTACTTGCGATCGACAAGTTCTTTGCCGATCGTTTAGCAGCGGGCCATGTGAGGGAATCAACTTCCCCACATAGCTCTCCGACCTTCTGTGTGCGAAAAGCAACAGGAGGGTGGCGGATAGTGCACGCGTTTAACAAATTGAACGCTGCAACGGTACCGGCTCAGACGCCGATACCGAGGAAGGACGTAATCATTGATGGTATGTCAAAGAGTACCATCTTTTCGTCCATGGATTTGATGGATGGCTTCTATCAAATCCTAATGCGGGAACGGGATATACCCTATACCGCAGTTAGCACGCCTAGCGGCATGCTCTGGGAATGGCTAGTAATGCCACAAGGGCTCAGTAATGCCCCTGCCACGTTCAACAGATGTGTATCACATCTGTTGAGACCAGTACGAGAGTTCGCGCCGAGTTATTTCGATGACGTATTCATCCATAGTCGAGCTATGGATGGAAAGTCGGACGTTGAGGTTCACAGGTACCACGTCCGACAAGTTCTTACAATCATGCGAAAGCATCAATTGTATGCTAACCTCAAGAAGTGTATATTTGCAGCAAGCGAAATACCACTTCTTGGGTGCATCGTTGGTAAGAACGGTGTACGTCCTGATCCCGAAAAGATCAAGGCGATCACCGACTGGCCTGTGCCGGTCGATGTCAAAGGTCTTCGAAAATTCCTTGGGCTAGCGGCGTATTTGCATAAGTATTCACGCAATTACGCCGAGATGACTGTACACCTCTCTCGTTTGTTGAAAAAGAACGAGAGGTGGTTATGGAACGCTGAATGTCAACGCTCCTTTGAGGGTATCAAGCAGAGCTTGATACAATCCCCAGTCCTAGCGATAGCCGATCAGGACAGGCCATTTCATGTGGTCTGTGATGCCAGCGATTTCGCAATCGGCTGTGCATTAATGCAGTACGACCTTGAAGGCGTTGAACGCGTCGTCTGCTATCAGTCGCGTCAGCTGCAACCAGCTGAGCGGAACTATCCAGTGCATGACAAGGAACTCCTTGCCATGAAGTATGCACTCGCGAAGTTCAGAGTCTATCTATTAGGAGATAGACCCTTCGTTGTTTACACTGACCATGCGTCCTTACGCACGGCAGTGAACAGCCCGCACCTTTCACAACGAATGACGCGGTGGTTGTCATTCTTTGCAGAATACAACTTTACGGTCGAGTACAAACCAGGACGACTTAATGTCGTCGCTGATGCACTCTCACGTCGTCCCGACTTTGAAACAGTCGCGAAACCCAACAGTGAGACAGTCACTGTTGCGGTTATGACGTCCTCAGTTCCATCTACAACGTTGTATGATGATGTGAGGCGGGCATACGCCCAAGATGGTGAGATAGTGAAGTTGTTGTCACATCTCTCCCAACCATCTCAAGAATCGTTGAAACGATTGTCGTCTGCGTATCGATCTGCATCAGATCGATACACTACTCGTAACGGTTTACTGTACTATACAGCCGTTTCTGGTGACACACCACGTGTTGTCATTCCAGATGATATTGATCTGCGTTTGCGGATCATGTTCGAGTATCACGATGCTCCTATAGGAGGACATCGTGGCCGAGAGAAAACATATCTCACGGTAAGTCGAGACTTTTACTGGCCCCGCCAGTATCAGTTTGTGCGAAAGTATATTCGCGCATGCGAAGTCTGCCAACGAGTGAAGTCAAGTCCTTAACTGCGTGCACCTTTACAGCCTCTACCGGTTCCGGCTGAGTGCTGGGAATCCATCTCAATGGATTTCGTCTTCGGGTTACCCAAAGACGCACGCGGGAATACGGGTATTCTCGTATTTGTTGACAGACTCAGCAAAATGGTACACCTTGTGGCTGTACCAGAGACAATCACGGCAAGTGGCTGTGCTTGTGTCTTTATTGACACCATCTTCCGACTTCATGGGTTGCCCCGTGAACTCGTATCAGACAGAGATCCACGATTCACTGCTGATTTCTGGCGTTCCGTGTTCAAATCACTCGGAACGCGCTTGAAGATGTCGACATCTGATCATCCAGAGTCAGATGGTCAGACGGAACGTGCCAATCGTGTCCTTGAAGAGATACTTCGAGGATACGTACACTCCTTTAAGAGTTGGAGTGAGTTTTTGCCGATGGTAGAGTTTGCCATCAACAACTCGGTGCATGCGTCCACGACACATACACCGTTTTACGTGAATGGCTTGCGCCATCCGCGTGTACCCACCTTACTAGAGTGTAACTCTGGTTTAAGGGGGGGAGGGACTCGCGCGAGCAAAAACCGATTTGGTTCACGCTCATCACGCTCTGACGAAGAGGTCATTGCGTTTGATGCCGATATCGATAACATCGATATCGAAGAAGATGATGCCAGTGAGAGTGCGGAAGCCCTCACTGAAGACAATGATCCCAGTGAGAGTGCGGAAGCCCTCACTGAAGAAAAGGTTGTTGTCGCTGCAGTGCGCTCACAGCACACTGAAGCTAACGAGTCATCAGATGAGTTCATACTGGCTCGTGAAACGGTAGTCCGTTTTGTGCAAGACTCCATCGCCGAAGCGGTGGATAAGCAAAAGCAAAACGCTGACAAGAATGGAAGGGCAAACACTCTTTTATTTAATAAAGGTGACTTAGTCCTACTGTCTACGGTTAATCTACCAAAACATGTAGTGACTAACTTGGGTAGCAGTAAACTACTACCCAAGTACATTGGCCCATTTCGTGTATTGCACCGCCTAGGCAATGCATACACGATCGAGTTACCACGTAAGATGCGAACGCATCCCACGTTTTACGTTGGTCGGCTTAAGCCGTACCATCAGTACGCTGCTTCTTCCGATGAAGAACGCCCTTGCGCTCAAGTATCTCGCAGAGAGCCTTGTGCTCCCGATGGTGGGCATCAACAAGGGTCTGAAGAGCAGTTATCTCAGCCCGAGACCGATCAACAATCCCACGAGCTACCCTTAGCTCGTCACGAAGAGATGTCAGAGATCTCTCGTTCTCAAGCTGAGCAAAGGCAAACTCAGCTCGATGCTTCGAGGCAGTGTCCACCATCTGGAGACGCCTATTCCGCTCATGCTCGAGATCGTCGCGTAACCCTTGCGTTACGCGATCAAAGAAGCTCTCGGGAACACACCGATCCACATGATCGTGTGGAGAGCGTCTTTCCTCCTCCTCCACCTCCATTAGAGGACTCTCGCGGTGGCCAGCGCTATCTAGTAGAGCAGCTGTTGAACCACCGCGACGTGAACGGACGTCGGACGAGTTACCTCGTCCGGTGGCGCGGCTATCCCCCGTCCTGGGATTCTTGGGAGCCCCGCTCCCAATTGATGGTTGACGTACTGGGTCTGGTCGAGCAGTACGACGCGACACATCCTGTGCCGCAGAAGGACCGCCGGAGAAAGTCTTCCCGGCACGGTCGTAAAGGGATTTCAGGTTGTCAATCCCTTCGTACATCTCAGTAGAGACACGTACGCGCCACCACGGGCTGGTAAGGAGGTAAGCCTCCTTAGGTGCTCGTGCAGAGTTGTTCACACAACATGGGCACGAGTCTCCCCAAGAGAGGCAGGGTAATCCTTTCTCCCTTGACAGACGATGCAGCTTATAGCGTGCACCTGTCGGGGTTCGCTTTTCAAACTTATCACGAGCTTTGATAAGTTTGTCGTTCCAAGCGTCACGACCTACATCCTCGAGATTATGGATGTAGGCGTTCCACGCCTGAAGTAGTGAGGGACCATCACGTTTGTGATTCCCACTGTACCATCGATGTCTGAAGAAAGCATCGATGAAGAACTCATGTTCAGCGCGATAGTCTTTCGCGCTGGGGTCAAGGTGATGAATCCTCGACGAATCGAACAATCGTGTTCGATAACGATCACTCGTCGTCGCCGACAAGTGATCCATGACAGATTTAGGAGGCATCCATGCCTTCTTTTCTGGAGCGAGACGCAACACATTGCGGTCCCGCTCTTCCTGCGACGTGCCGACAGAAGTACTGGCACCTCGCTGTGAAGTGGTGTCCATTGGAGAACCGACACCACTATTAGCGCCCGAGTCTCGCGACCTCGAGCGCCTTCGCTTCGGCGATGGTTCATCTGACTCATCAGATGAACCAAAGATGCTGCGACGCAAAGCATCGTCCATGCCACGCTTGGCAGGCGGCTTGGATTCAATTGCCGTCGATACGGATCCGTCATCCGTATCAGGAGAGTACGAGACACCGAGCTCGTACTCTGTGAAGACACGAGTGTCTTCATGACCAGCGCCTGCGTCACCAAGTGACACAGGCTGGGTCTCTTCAGCAACCGATGGGACATCAGTTGCTGTTGTTTCTGCTTCGGCGTCCGCACAGAGACGTGCAGACGCGCTCTCGGCGGCCTTGCTCGCGCATCGCATGGGCTTGTTTACCATGCGATGAGATGTTGGAAAGTGGACGCGGACCAACAAGTGCAAACCCTGTCCCAAATGATTTGGGACGAGTATCCATTTAGTCAATCAGTCACTAAAGTGACTGATGGTTAAGGGGGGTGATGTAACGGGGTGAATCGTTACATAACAATTTATAAGAAATTGTTAATAGAATATAACTATAAGAGTTATATTCTCAGAATATTGTCATAAGGACAAATATTCTGTAGCACTTACAAGTAGTTCCTAATTGGTTGATATAGGCCATTATATCAACCAACGAAGACGCGCCACGACAGACGCACGCAATGAGTGGTGAGCAGATAACTGATTTACACATTTGTATTTAGACATAGTTAGATGAAGATAAATAGTGATTTATTGCAGACATTAACTATTATAAATACAGTTCTACTTTTTACTTTAACCAAGTACTCGCTTCTTCTTACCGTCTTCCTCTGCACGTACGAGTGTACGTGAAGTTACGAGGCACCGCCTTATTCTGTTATCAGAATAAGTAGCTTGTACTGTCACCAGTACAAGCTTCAGGGTGCCCCGTTACATTCGGCATGTTACCATGCTTTACTACAAACTTGCCTGTGCCAGCTAGCGTGATGTTAATGCTAGCTTGTGATTTGAGAACGGTCGCACTCTTACTCCCTGTGCAAAGTTAATGTGGAATAGAAAACGCTCCCTTTACGGTCAGTATGCGGTGCGACGATCTATGAGTAACGTATGCTTCGCAATCATCCAGTATCATCTAACTTTCGTCGTGTGAGTTCAACACAGCCTTCGTGCTTGTTTCCTACATTCGATCAGTTAAAATTTCTTGCCACTATGTCGTTGCTGCACTACACACGAGTGGATTTATAAGTCGATGCGTGCAAGCCTTCCACTCGTGTTTTTAATATGCACTAACGTGAAAGCATCTTTAATTATGGAATCGAACTTTCACTTAACACCAGTATTACCCTACAATTGAAGTCGGTTTAACCCCATTTACAAGCAGGATGGACTTCCACGCAAGAGACGATTTCCTAGTGCAGGCGAGACTACGACCAGATACAGTTGCGTTTGTCGAACATGTCGTCGTGTTGGTCATAACGAAACTACGTGTCATCGACACGCCTGCGAAGTAGAAGATAGTAATGCAGCTGTCGTGCCCTGTATCGTAGATCTGCCAAGACCTGTGCAGTACTAAAGTATAAAGACTAGAAATTGCAACGGTGTATATGTCCCATCTTATACAGAATTTTACAGTGCACTAAATTAAATAGGTGTTTCTATCGCTAGCATTGCTCCGACTCACATTTCTTCTCAACCATTAAAGTGTGACGTTAAGGTCTTAAGTGTTCAAGATCTAATGCTACTTAATTTTTTTTGGACATTTCAATATTGAGCAAATTTTTAAGCAATACGGATTGTACGAGTCACGTGTCCCTGAAACGACTTAGCCTTATAAACAAAGTATTAACGAGTTTAGTCAAGTAAAGCGCTTGGGGTATGTATAAAAAAAAATTGATGCCGCCCTTGTTTGAAAGTCTGTTCGAAAACATTTGATTAGCTAATAATTAATTCTGCTAAGCGACCAAGAAGCAATCATTTCATTTTTACCTAATGCCGCACGAACTAACATGAACAATGTCTGTCACACAGTGCTGATCTTTGTCGCTACCAGACCTCGTTGCATCTACAGTCATATGGCTGTAACGATAGCGTTAGCATGAAATAATTCGTACACTCTGGTGCTTGATCACAATTACAAATTGCACCTAAATTTATTGCTGTCATAGCATTCATGACGTGCACACAAGAGACCTGCAAAACCTTAAGACAAAAAACTTCTGCTCGTTAGCATCAGTACATTTTTATGATTTAAGCGTTAAATTCCAGGACACACTGACGTGCGTTTATACTGTCATTTACCCGCAACCTACTCACGACTTGTTGCCTTCTTGCCTTCTACCATGTGTGATGCGTGCAACTCTAACCATACTAAAGCTTATTTGATTATCATTCCGCTATCGGCGACTTCTCAATCAAAGCCAAAAAAGAACATTTAAAATATGCGTGATTAGTTTCGACCTTTGAAAGTCCATAGTGGCGGGTGTCGTCCTCATCGATGAGCTTGTGGGAGTTCACCAGTCCATTTTAAACCGTAAGTTCAACTTGATATGTATAAGTTTTCACCCAGGGATATATAAGCACTTCGTAAACCAATGTGTGTGCGCATGAGATGCGAATGACATCGGAGTGTTGAAGAGAATCATGATTCCCACAAATTGTCAGTCATTTTACTATGTGGTGTAATCTAGCATAGCCACACACAATATTGAGGGGCACCAGTACTACAACTATGAAAAGTATTGGATCTGGAAAATCAGCCAGCTGGACGTACCAGTACTGGGATAAACTTATGTGAACAGCATCTTATGCTTTTTTAAGATGGGAAAAGATTTACATAAGCAGCTACCACACCGAGGATCCCCTTGCCTTCTAATTCTATGTCCTTTTTCACTTACTTTAAGATATTATTATAATTGTAGTTGGCGCATGATTGCGCCTACTGGTTTTTCCGCTATCTAGACATCACCTGATGATGTGCACTCGAATATGCAGCTGCGGCACAGAGGTATGAAGTACGTCTGGACGGGTACCTCTTACCTGCTGATTAATATAGACTGTCCAGGCGGTATCGAAGGTCGGTTGGGATGTTTTGGTCAATCAAAATCGTTCTATGATGTGTTGGCCAATAGAATTCTTCACTTTTTTTCTTCCTAGTTTAGAGCGGAACGAAAGGGGGGAGACAAAACAAGGTTAAAAGACGTGATTAATTATATTAACTCTCAGGTGTTATATCAGATTTTTAGAAATGGAAAACAAAGAACCAAACGAATGTTAGCCATTGTTCTTCCACCTTTATATGTAGAAATCAGCATTCAAATTAGCGAGTAAACCGAATCGAAAGATAAATATACGCATAATTACAAAAGATACCAGCATTGCCGGCCCCGAATCCCAGGTCATCGCTGCAACATTCGGGCGCGCTCCAAGCGTTTAAATGGTCTATAATCTTGTCGAAACTTGCGGCCTTACGTCTGTGCCCGAACAGGGTCCTAACTTATCAGGCATTTAGTATGCACAGATAAAATTAATGAAAATTCAGACTATTTATTTTCCACTATACTTAATTAATAAACGTCAAAACACATGTCAACTTCAGAGTA